ACAAGCATTCAAGAATCGCGTAGCGACCTATTTTACAGCTGTCGTTATACAGATTCACTCAGTACACATCAATTAAACAAAAACATAACATTAATGTGGATACCAGCTCCGCACTCACAGCATAGGAAATAACGCGCTGAAGACACGGCAATAGGCTTATTTAGCCACCATCCAAACCTCCCCAATGCATCAACTTCCCGCACACATCACAAAACAGAAGCGAAGCAACTCATTACATCTCAAACACTCGAAGAAATCAAAACGCTACCAACACAACTATAACACAAATAAGTCCAACTGGAGTTAAATCCATCATAACCAAACCTATAAACCAGAACCCTCACCTGCTCAAGCAACAAGCACACAGACAATAATCTCATCACTATAGACAAATTACAGGCATAACAAACTGATACACTATACACCTGTAAACAGACGCAGATGGACTATGCACTGCAAACAACCTGAAACAATTGAACATATATTTACACACTGCCACTGCAACAAACTAAACATCTGCCAGCTACAAAACTCCATTACCCAGCCAAATATCACAATAACATGCACCTGCTGCTCAATGCCCACAACCCACCAAACATTTTCCGCGCCATAGCTACCTTCATTACTAGCTCTAATCAAATAAAATAAAATTTAGACCATCTCCAAACAAATTCCCATTTAAACATAGCAATCCAAATCTCTCACCCTTACCCCCACTATCTAGAAAGGGATCCGGTGTTCACATTTTCAATGGCCGTCTTCTCAGCGTCCGTGCCGTCCTTTCCATTTAGGTCTCCCTCTCCAACACATAGCAAGCTCACCGCAGCTCAACTCTCCCATTCACATCACAGCTACACAAATTTGTCGCGGCAGGTTGGTCACTGGTGACAACGCCATTGCTGCTACTGGCTGGCACCATTCCAATCCTCCTCCTCCTCTCAAGCCCCTCAGCTAACAACACAGGCCTCACCCTGACCGCCGTGACCTCGGGCCGGAAACCTGATCAATTTACCTCTGAATAACTGAACTATTCAGGGCTTCTCATAAAACTTTAAGACAATCAAGTTACTGCTTTCCATAAAAAAATCATCTCTCCGCTGCTTTTCCTAATCCTCTTGTATATATATGCTTTATTTTCCATTTGTTTGTATTCATTTCTGTGCTTCATAGTGTACATAACTCCAGCTACTTACCACTCAAACCAACCCCTCCCCCACTCCCCTCACCATGGCCTCCCCTCCCATCGCCAACAAGTTTCCACGCCTCCACCTCCCCACATCGATAAACCCACCCCCATAATTTTTGGTGACCGATCTCGTCCTCGTCCCCAACAAACAGCCAAACAGCCACCCTCCCTCACAGCCTCCAAGCAACAAAGCTACAAATCCATAGCGCCCGCATTTCACCCACGAAAACTCCCCGGTCATGCAAAGAAACAATGTGACGAAGCCACCCCACCCCAATTTAGGACAACAAGCTTATCCTTTGCGCTTGCTGCAAACACCCACACCACTTAACCACACATGCTCAATAAATAAATTTGCCTTTTGCCTCCAAACAACGCAACATGCATTACAAATACATAAATAATTGAGGGCCGAGCGCAAATCACATTGACAGACAAAACCAAGCGCTAAACAACGCAGCAAAACACACGCTCATCAGCGGCAAACAGATGAAGCTGGCGAGGTACCCGGCAGACATCTTTCAAGGCGTTATAAACATAGACACAAGAGAGCAGAATCAGATATTAAACACTACATCGGCCCTCGCCGACACCATCCCCAACCAAGCAAAATCACCAACTGGAGGCCATCAGCAACAGACAACCTACCTACAGCCCCAACACACAAGCAGCCTTCCTCACATTTGACACTACTACACTCCCCACCCCACATTACATTTGAAGCCCTTACTTACAAAGTACGCCAACCTTAAAACCACAACAATTGCAAATACTGGTTTTCATGCTCACACATCTCAGATTCATGCAAGCTCCCCGTGGTATGCTTTGAAATCTTGAGATTGGGACACGCACCCTCGATGAATGTTGCCAACAGAAATGCTGCGATGGCTGCAACACCCGGCCACACCGCTACACACAAGACATGCCCCATCAAACAAAGAAACACATCCTCAGGCTCAACAAACACATCAAAACACCAATACCAAAACCAGCCGCGAACATTGCTGTCATGCAACTCCATCCTCAGCCAGTTCATCCTCTCCCTACACTTCCTCCACCTGGGCTCAATGTTCTGCTCACACCCCAACACCCAAAACCCACAAAACACAGCCTTCCCAACCAGCCACCAAACCTACCCGACCCCCGAGCAAAACCACCACACCCACCCAAAGACCGTACAAACCGGCACCCCTATGAACAACCCTCCTCCATTACCCGTCCCAACTGTCACCCTAAAAGAAACCGTCCCAAAACTGCACCCCCTCAAACCCGCACCCCTCCCAACATAAACCACCAACCCACCTACCCACAATTAAAACTCAAGTCCCCACCTAAAAACACCCAGCACCTGCCCACAGGCCTCCACTAACCCTCACACCACAAAAATTAAACCAAAACCTAAACTAAATGGTAGAATTCATCATCTCAATACAATAATGGAGACCAAGGATCAAAACTATACACCCTTGCACACAAATCAAACTCCTATCACACAAAGCTTGGCCAGAGTACTGATAGCTAAAAAAAACCCTTGCAAACAGCCAACCTCTAAGCTACTCTGGCAACAGCAAATCCCATTCTTCAAAGATTCATTGCCCCCACGCTATGGCATTTATTAAATCCTATTCCTAATTGCGGTAACCATGGCACTTATACAGTGGAACTGCAACAGTCTCGAGCTCATGGTTGGGGCGGTGGGTAGCCTAGCGGTTAAAGCGTTGGCCTAGATCCGCACTGTGAGGGTCCGGGTTCGATTCCCCACATGCAGCAATGTGTTAAACCCATTTCTGGTGTCCCCATTGATGATATTGCTGGAATATTGCTAAAAGCGGCATAAAATCTAAACTCAGTCAGCCGGGCTCATGGGCATGATGAGGCTCAAGGCACTCATTACCCATAACAAAATTTCACCCGACATCATAGCTCTGCAAGAAACAAATTTATCCCCAAAAATGCCTCTCTCAAAATTACCAGGCTACAATTTTGATGAAAAGAGACAGATACGCGGCCAGCTGACTATAATGGCCCCTGCGGAATGGGGATTTTCATTGCAGAGAAATTAAACTATAACATATTGCAAAATTCTGTACTGCAAAGATCTTCGAAGTCCTGGCAATATCAACTTCACTGAATAACAAAGACTTAACCATCATTAATGTTTATAGAGAGACCAAATTTCAAAATTACCACCCAAGATTTGGACATTCTGGTAAAATTTATAGAGATGATCCCCACACCATTTATAATGCACACCACCCAGTGTGGGGCACAAGACCCTATACTGATATAAATGGCACCCAGCTGCTTACCGACTGGCTAAGCACACACAACCTTAACTCACTAAGCGACAACCAACCCACCCGCTACCCCCTCTCCCATCTACACTCTCCCATCTACACTCCACCCACATCCATCAACATCACTCTCACCACACCCCAAAATTACACAAGCTTGTATATGGGAGGTCCACGATGACACCTAGGGCAGTGACCACTGCCCCATCAAAATAAACAATCACATCATCATACCCACCCACACCACACACACTACCCCATCACATCATTACACAGAACTAAGATTCAACATTAAAAAGCAGAATTGGAACAAATTCACAACACTATGTAAACAAATAGACACCACAGCCATTTTCAACACAGACATAAACACTTTCAACACAAACCTCACTAATACCATACTAGACATCTCAGAAAAATGCATTCCAACTTTTCGATATAACCCCTGCACAAAAAACAGTCCCTCTGGTGGAGCACAGAAATCATTAAAACCAGAAGGCAAGAAAAGGGCCCTAAATCAATCCAAGAGAGGGCCCGTTGAAATTACATTTGGCAAAACAACTAAGAAATAAAGCGAAGAAATTAATCCAGGCAGCAACAAATGACCATTGGAAACAATTTTTGTTCTACCGCTTAAACTAACAAGTCGAAACTCCAGAACCATGTGGAAAACATTTAAAGCCATTAAGGGCATTTCAAAAAACTATTAATCCAAACCTTCCAGACCTAGCCACAAATAAAGACAGAGCTAATGCATTTGCTGCCCACCTCTCAGCCGTCAGTAGCTCCACCAACTACCCACCTTCTTTCCAAAATACCATGAAAAAGCACCCCCATACACCCCACAACCACCACACACAGATCTACCTATAAACAAAATAATAAATATACACGAACTACAATCTGCACTCAGAAACAAACAGAGAGACTCAGCCCCGTGTCCAGATACCATTACATACACTATATCAACAAATTAACACCTAACATGCCTCACTCACCTCCATAAAGCTACTACAGTCAATACACTTACTCTCTTTAATCATATCTGGACCACAGGTACTATCCAAATGCATGGAAAACAGCCAATTTGCGGCTCATGATATTTCTTTCTGGACTTCCTCCACTTCTGTCAAACAAGTTTCTACAAAATGCCAAAATGCTAAACAATATTCAAAATTGGGCCTAACGGTGGGGTTCCTCATAAATGTTAAAAAAACGTGGGCATACTCTTCAAAGAAACTCAACGAATGCAAAATTATACACCCAAACTGCACCTAAATAACAAAAAAATTGAATTAAAATAGGAAGCAAAATTCTTAGGAGTAACTTTCAGCCAACATATTACATGGACACCCTACATTTCATAACCTGGTTAATTCTTGTCAAAAGATCTCAACTTAATGAGAGCCATCAAGCTATACAAACTGGGGTGCCGACAAACCTACAATGATATTAACATATTATAGCCAGGATATTTAGGATTGAAAACTTAAAATATATTTGATGAATATGTAAGGAAAATTTGAAGTTCAGTTAAGAAGTGTCATTGTGTGCTTGGAAAGTGCATTGACCAGAGTAACCAAATTCATATCGATTCATTTCCCTTGCATACAACAATTCTAATAAGGGAGATGAGTGGAACATGTGGATCCGGGTGACTCATATACTATTTAGGTAATTACTGGTAATTAAGATACTAAGAATCAGAAAAGGGACACACTAATGATTGATTAAACATCTTCTGGCCTGCCAGTCGGAGATTTTATTAGGTTGAATGCTTCACAAAATGATTTAAGCTCACTAATAAGGTACATTTATGATGGAAGAAATTGATGATAGTACCGATTAAGTCTTGGAAGAGAGAAATGGTTGTAGTTAGTTGGTGCAGCTGGAATATGAGTCAGTTGAAAAGGGACTAATGAAAGTAACTTATTAGTCAGATGGGTTATGAGTCATTTTTATATGGTGTAGGACAGTAGTATTTCAGGGGAGGGGGCCAAAATTGTTATGAGGGTATTTTACAAGTTGACTGAGAGAGAGAAGGAGATTCTGGGCCCCACCGTTGACTTGAGAGGTTCTCTCTGTATATTGAGAGAATGGCTCCAGATGAACTAGTAACTTTAGGAGTTGTACAAGAATCCAACAAGTTCTTCCATGAGGTTTGTGAATCTGTGTTGTGTGTAGACCAGGAATGATAGGCAATATCTGAGGACCTTTGTGTGAGAATTCATTCCAAAATAAATGGACTTGAACACCATACCGGACTTATCTTTGACTATCCATCTTAGCTACACATCGTCCCCAGCACAAGAGTAGATAGACAGATTGCCTAGGGAGAAGGGAAAACACCCTGACACCCTCAAGTAACAATATACAAAAGCGCTTATACTGCCTAAACTGGACTACACGCCCGATTCTCACTCCCTCTCCCCTATAACCTCCAAAAATAAACTCCATCCAATATAAAGCCCTAAAATTAGCCCTAGGCACTAGGACTGGTACCTCCTAAACACTTTACTTCTACTCTCAGGCACCACTTCATTCACACAAAGAATCAACCAAACAACACTCACTTACTGGGCTGGGGCCAAGCATAACCACTATTTAAACTTCGTCACACATAAATACAGCAATATAAAGTAAATCAACAATTAAGAATTCAAATTAAATCCCTTAAGAGCTCCATGCCTCACCCACCTCCATAAACTACTACAGTCACAACAGCTAAGCGACATACAACATACACCTCCATTACAAGCTACATTCCGACATACCCCCACCCACCACAGACACCACCCTAGACAAGCATTCTCCAGCAGTTACAAAAAACACCAACAAACCCACCATAACAAATATCACAAACAACTATATTAACAATAACTACCCTTCACACCCCATATATACAGGCGGCTTCAATCAACCCAAACAAAACAACTGGTATAGGCATACATGTCCAACAACCCCCATTACAACCAACCTGCACTATACAAACCACACCTCAATACATACAGCAGAACTAACAGCTATCCTCACTGCACTGCACCTAATACCTACCCTCCCACAAACTAACTTCCTAATTCTCTCCGACTCACTAAACTCCATTAGGCAAATACATAACAAATTACTCCAAATCTAAAGCCCTGATCTCATTCATTAATATTACAATCCAAACAGACTCACTTAAACAGCAAATAAAAAACATAACTTTCACCTGGATACCAGGCCATTCAAACATAATAGGAAGCGACACAGCAGATACAGCAGCCAAAATAGCCACAACACACAAATCACCAAATATTAACTTTCATACATCCAAAGGCAGAAACTAAACAACTCATTAAATCAAATATACTACATACTGACTTTCAACACAACATAAACAACAACAAATCAACATGGGTTACTTCCATTATAAAATCACCCTTAAGGAAAAATCCCTACATTCTCAAACATTAAAAATATTGACACCGCCATAAAACAGACTTATCACAGGCATCACAAACCTCAACCACACACTTTACAAAAACAAAACAGACATGCAGATGGACTATGCACACACTGTTATACCCAAGAAGACATAAATCACATACTCATACACTGCCAGCTACAACAGACCAACATTAAGCAACTACAAAACAGCATTCCCCTAAATATCACAACAACATCCACTACTCCTCAACCCACACAACACAAAAGCATCTTCAACGCCCTGACAGTATTTCTACAAAACTCAAACCTTCAAAAGAATCTAGAACTTACTAAATAACTACAGCCATCTCTCTCACCTCCACCTACTGCAACATTCAGGCCAGCCGTTCAAAACCCCAGTTATCCATTCTGTTCCCTACAACTTTAGACCCGGCGCTCAATTTCATTTATCCATACTCTGCACACGCCACGCTCGCTCTCTCCTCTCGCTATAAATGTAAACAACCCGTCACAAGCCCATACTACCAAGGTCAAGGGCCACTTAGGTTTAACGCCCCAGCATTTACATTTACAGAAGCCGACGTTAAACATTTAATTTCGTTCATGTGGCAGATATATGGAGTTTTGCTTATATTTATGATGGGCG